TGGGACCTGTCAATCATTGTTTCTGGGTTGGCATATCTCCCCAGAGAGTGACGTTGTTTGTGAGGTCCTCAATCCTTTCAGACCTTGGAGCCTGAATATAATTCAATGTTGTTCTTTCTCGTAATAATTAAATTACGCTGGTAGCTCTACCCAAAACTGTTCTATTATGGAGGAGATTGGGCGAATATCATCCTTAGTTGGCACAGCTAAAAATTATTTTAGATCACATGATTTGTCCATGTCCTTCTCTTTTTTTTTGGCTAGGGAAACTGAGGCCAGAAAGGTCATGGAACCCTCTCAGGGTCATGCCACTAGCTAAATACTGGACCCCAGGTCTTCTGCCTTTGGACCAAGGCCGCTTTGCCTAAAGCAGCAGAAAACCTGCAGAACAGCATCAGGATGGCCAGGCGGGAGACAGTGCCATCCATCTTAGAAATCATTCTGGCTTCTGTCCGCTGATGAAGGAAATAAAGTCAATGACGCCCACATAAATGTGGTGCTGTTGCAGGGCGCACACAGGCTGTCTGGAGCTCTGTGGGCCCTCTGAGGGAGGAGAAAGGCTTTGATGTAGCTTTAAAGGGAGCAGCGTCTCCCCTCTCTGCAAGGACAGGGACTGTGGCATCTGTTACGTCTGCCTCCCCTGTGGAGTGCCTAGTTCTGGACTGGACACATGGACACGCGATAAGTAAATGCCTGGTCAAGGAATGAAGGCAGCATCAGCAGTTGAAGCAGGTTCACCCTGAGCCTTGGTGGGTATGGGCCTCTGTCTCCCTTAAAGACCGTACACTAGAGGCTGGAGGGAACTCAGACATGTCAGAACCACTCGTTTGGGTTCATTGGTAAGAAAACTGAGTCCCCCCAGGGGAAAGAGACTTGTCAAAGCCACGCTGCAGGGTGGGAGCAGAGCTGACCCTTGAAGGGGTCTCTCAAATAGCAGCCTGTCTGCTCTTTCCACGGCACCACCTGGTTGCAACCTCTTTCACAAGGTGGTCTCAAAACCAAATTCCCTAAATACTCCCTGAAAGGTCATTATCAGTTTTGCAAATAGGCAGAAGGCATGTGCCGATCCGTAACTCCATTTACCCCACTAGGGTCCTTGACCAAGCTGTCCCATGGGAACAGAAGGCAGCATGGTTTCTCTTTCTCAAGGTTCCTAAGCCCCCAAAGGTAGGTAGGGTGACCTTTTGATTAGCCCTACTGCAGACCTGCCCAAGGGGCTTCTTTCCTTAGGAAAAAGTCCTTGACCCACTTCAGTAGCTCCCGGACACTTTCCGCAGTGCCCAAAATGCAGCGGGCGAGGTTTCAGCAGCGCACCGCTGCTCCTGAAATTTTGAGAGGAAAGACCCAGGCGGTCATCTGGCCCTCTTGGCGAGCTTGGAGCCCAGGAAGTCAGAGGGGCTGCTTTGGGGGCAAGCACATTTACCTCTCCACTGGGTGGTTTTTCAGGCCTGAGGTATGAAAAAAAAAAATCTCTTTGCCATGTTCCTTTTGACCCTAGTGTGCACTGAAACATTTTCCCTTCAAGGTTTTGGTGACCTTTCTTAGCAAGTGAGCACCATATTCAGTCCGAAACCCTGTGCAAAGGAACATTTCCTAGGATGGCAGGTGGAATTGTCATCTTTGGGGAAAGCCACCCATGGCTTAGACCTGCTTCCCTCCCCTGCCTTTATTCCCTTCTCAAGCATTAGCTGGGCCTCTTGTTGCTTCCCTGGGATGCTTTCTGTGTTTCATGAGGGGCATTTTCTCAAAGAAACTAGACTTTTCTCCTTACTGCCATTAGTACATCAGAGCAGTAGATTAAATAGTTGTCACCCTATACCAGTGGTTCTCAACTGCAGGCGATTTTGTCCCCCAACCCTGGGTTTTTGGCAGTGTCTGAAGAGATGTTTTTGACTGTTACAACTGGGGAGGGGGTGCTACGGTGCCAAGGATGCTGCTGAACACCTTACAATGCACAGGAAAGCCCTCCTAACAAAGGATTATCCAGTTCAAAACTCCAGTAGTGCCAAGATTGAGAAACATGGCTATTTACCATGGGTCTATTTGAGTTACTGAGGTGAGAAGATCTGGGGGTCACCCTGGTCCCTTCCCACTCATAAGCCACTGTCAGGGCTTTGGGAATCAAAGCAAGTTCCCTTTGTCTTGAAAGGAATGCATTTCTACTATTAAAAAACACATCTTTGCCTATTATTTTTGACCAGCCTGGATATAAACCCCGATCCCCATTGATAAAAATAAAGAGACAAAATTTAGGTTATTTTAAAATGTCACTCCTACAATTTTAGACCCACAGGCTTTTCAAATATCAGAGCAGGAACTTTAGCCAAATCACCTCTTTTTACTTATGGGGACTCAGTGGATGAGCACGGCAATGCTGTTTGTCTCCCAGGACCCCAGTCTCTGTCCCCTCAGCTCTTTCTAAGGCCTTGATTGTTGGCACCAGATGAGATTTCTGCCTCACGAACTCTGATTGTTGTTTTATTTGTTTCCCTGTCGTTATTACCATCTCGCTGGTTGCGTGCTGATGCAGCAGTGCTTCTGCTATCGAGTTTTCCTTTTCTAGACCCCAGATTTCCCCATCAAGGTGAGCAGCTGGCATCATTTAATCTAAGGAGTATCTGGGTGCCTGAGATGATTGCATCGGCTCATCCCAACACGGCGCCTGTCCCTTGCGGGAGAAGGGGTTATTCACGTGGAACCTTCTAGGGAGCTGTCAGTCCCCATTGACCCCCACATGCATTCTATGGAGCCCCCCGATTTTAATGCTTCCTTACTTTTCACCTAAAATTTAGAAAATGAGAGAGTTAGAATGACCATGCCAATGAGACAACAAGAATACTTTTCCTCCTTGTAACCCCTTTTTTCACCTCTCTGAAAAATTGCTGAGGGTATTTCCCTAGTTCAGTTCTCATTTTTATTATTTTGTGTTTCAGGATATTTCTGAAACAGTGTTGATTCCTCAAATGCTGTAGCCGTTCCTGTATTTTGGAAGTGCAGTGGTACCAGTCCCTTTCAAGCTCTCCATGGTCATGACTCTCCTTTCCTAATAGACACCTGGGATCTTATCCCATCTCCGCTGTAGCTCATGTATGTCCTGGCCCATGTAGGGGAAAGAGATGTAGAGTGATGCTTCCTGATAGGCCACCACCAGTTTACTTAAAGTATTAACAGGGTGCATTCATAACCTTATCAAAATGATTACCATGCAAACCTTTTAGACCATGTTTCCCTTTTGAAAGACAGTGTCTGGAAGAATAAAATCAAGCATTACCTACTATTCATCAAGAAAAAAGGAGGTGGGTAGGGGATGATGTGCTTAGTCTTATTAATTTGCTCTTTAATCTCTCTGGTTCAGTTCTGTCTCCATATGCCAAACAGAGACTCAATTTGCATACAAATGTTACCAAGTACTCCACCTCCAGAGCATTTTACATTTCTACTGTGTACGTAGGGGAGAAATGATTTGGTATTGTTAAATTAAGAGGATACTTTTTGCCCTTTCCCCCATCAAGTGGCTACCTTTCACGAGGCCCTGGATTGTTGCACTTTTTTCATTCTATCTGACTCCCTGACTATTTGCATTCTGAGCTGTGGGCAGGACTGTGGCCTATCAAAGGATTATTTGAACTGGAGATTAGAAGCTTTAAGCATTGGGCAGCTCAGAGAAGGAGAGGGGTCTTTTCTTCATCTCAAGCGAAAGATATGAAGAAAAGCTTACATAGAGACCCTTACAATCTAGGGGGAGGTATCATTCATGTAATAGACCAACCGACAGTTAGTCAAACCAACAATTCATATGCAGAGTTCTCTACAATGTAAAAAAACCCCCAAACCCCCAAAATCCAAGAATTATTTGCTGGCTAATGATAGGGGAGAATAATATTTGATGGTTACTTATTTTAAAAAGCAACCTAACGTAGGTTTTTCCAGTTACTGTTAGTCCTTTGCCATGGTGAAACATGAGAGGCAGGCATCTAAAATGAGGAAGATTAATGATCCCTGCAGGTCATGGAAGAAGGATAATTTTTTTCAATTCATGTAAATGGAATTTATCATAACCATCTCTGAAGATGGCATCATTCACCCACTTTCAAAAGGACTATCTATTTCAATGCTTCCTGAAGAGGTGATTTTTCACTTTTTGCTCGTACTAACATTAGAATGCTAAGCCTGTGGGCAGAGAATTTTAACCTGGGAGACAATGGGTGGGGGAACTCAGCGACTGAGTCAGGGATAGACATACATGAAGAAACAAAACACAAGCAGGAATTGCCCATTAGTTCAGGACCTTCAGCTAACAAAGTAGAGTTTGGAAAGGTGAGCGGGGCAGAGGAGAGAGTCAAAGTTTCAAAAGCAAAATGTTTCCCAGAATCTTTTTCCAAATAGATCCGCTGTGCACCCACGTTCGGGCTTTACAACCTGAGGTCATAACGCTATCATTTCCAAGCACTAAGCCTCAGCAACACACTCCCACAACCCACAGAAAAGGAAAACAACAACAACAACAAAAAAGGAGAGAGAATGAAATGTTTTGTGTCCAGCAAGTTCCAGTGCAACCTCCCCCGTCACCGCTAGTTGTCACTTGGCTCCCCCAGACGGGAGAGCTGAGGTTTTCGGCACTGCGGTTAGAGAGAATGCAGTCCTAATTAAACAGAGTAACTCCTAAAGCTTCCCCTTAAAGTCCCCAGCTGAGTGAGAGCCAATATGCAGGGGGGCTGGGGGCCATCGATGGCGCCGGGCTGTAGCAGGCAGAAGGGCAAACAAATCACAAGAAACAGGCAAACAGCTGCCGGAGCAACGACTGTCTCAGACCTCCACGCACAAGCCAGACACCCTGCGGGCGGGGCTGGGGAGGGGGGAGCGGGGGATGGAAGGACCCGATTGCAGCGGTACACGGCCCTCCCCCCACCCCCCAAATGAGGGGATCGCAGACAGAGTCGGCCTCCGTGCTCCTTCCCCCATTTTCATCAGAGCGATGTGGTCAGTAGAAAATTGCATACCTGAAGAATACAATGGTCTCCCAAAGGTAGAGTCGAAGAGTATTGAAGCTGTACATTTTCAGGTCCTTGTGCTTTGTAGTCCACGAGTTATGGGGCCAAAAAATGTTTCAGATTGGCACTTACAAAACCAGCGAGCGCTATTGAAAAATAATCCAGATGCTAAGGAGAGGTGGGGAACGGTGCGGAGGGAAAGCCCCAGGGGACACTAGAGCCAGGGGGCTGTGGGTACCGCGGACAGCAGCCACCGCGAAGCGTTTCAGCACCACGGAGAGCGTCCAGCCCTGGTTTTCGAGAGCGCGAAGAGTATTGCTGTTTGTTAAACTCCAGTGTGTCTGTTGGCTCCCTGCGGCGCTGGGGAGGCACGTTTGGGGGTGGGTATATTTTCTTTTTCACCCGTTTTTCTGTTTAAACGGCCAGCTTCATGCAAGAAAAAAAAAAGAATCTTCTGTGGAGATCAGAGCGCTGGCCGCGGACTGTTAGACTGGGCGAGCATCTTGGGTAGAGGGAGTAGGGCTTAATGCCCCTGGGCTGGCCAGAGCGGGGGTAGGGGCGAGGGGAAGCGGTTGACGGCGCTGTCTTCAGTTAAATCCCGGAGAATGTGCCAGGCTGGCGCATCGTGACCGAGTCCCGGAATCTCCTTCCCCTGCCTGTGTGTCTGTCTGCTGTCGCCTTGCGATTCCTGTTCTCTGGTCCCTGCCGAATAAGTTATGATCGCTGCAGGAAAGATGTCCCATTGCTCGGGGCTGCAGACGTGAGCGAGCTCAGGGCAAGTTTCAGGGGCTGCTAGGGTCCATGGCGACTCCGCGGGGCTCAGGAGCCCAAGGCTTCAGACGCATCTTGGTTTTCCAAGCTCGCTCATCTTCCTTTGGCCAGGACTCCTTCAGATCTTCAGACTTTCTTACTGCATTAATTTAACAAACTGGCGGCGTTGGGGATTGAAGGAGGGGGGCGGCAGGCGATGGCTGATGGGAGGGGGTGGAGAGAAAAAAGGGGGGAAAACTCCTTAGTATCTTCAAACCCTCCCACTCGAGGTGCTCATTGGCCAAAGGCTGCGAAAACCAGATCTTTTCCCAGTGTTTGGCCAATTGGGTGTTAGACTCTGGGTTGAGTTTAACGCTTCAAGTGCTGGATGAGATCGCACCTCCCTCTCCTATGCGTGGGAGTGGTGGGGTAGAGGAGGTTATGGCGTTAATCTCTCCGGGTCTCTCAAAACAATGCCTTGTTTTTTAAAAGAATGTAGTTGCATGTGAATAAGAAAACCCCACAGGCCCCAGTCTTGATGTGCTTCTGGGCTCAGTTTATCATCTTAAATGGGAAGAATCAGATCCAGGAGTTCCTTCAGAGCTCTGAAGTTATACTATTTGGCCCCAGGAAGAAGGAGAGGTTTCAAAGAGAAGCCTAGTTGATAAAGGAAGACATTCTGCTTCCCTCCTTCCCCCAGGGCCACTGCAGCAGGAAAATAAAGGGGGAATCCCTTGAGCAGTTTCCAGGCTCAAGAGTGAGCGTCCTAGTCTCGCTGCTGGCACCCTTTTGGGAGATAAGGAAGACATGCCATCTTCCAGCCGCACAGGAGACCATTGTGTTTACATCTCATAAGCTGGGGAGACAGAGCCACGCAGAGCTGTGGCTTGCTCCAAAATAATGGTAGAGCCAAGCTGTGCATACAGGTATTCAGTACTTACCACCCCTGTTCTCTGCATTTTCTTTCCCCTGCTTCTCTGTTTTCCCACCTTATTTGGGTCTCAGAAACCAGCTGTACAGTTCACTCCAGAGCTCAGCTGGGGCGGTGCAGTTAATCAGATTTCCTTCAAGCTACCGGACTTCAGTGGAGCAGTGGCCTCTGCAGGGTTTTCCGGCTGCTTTGCGCTGGCTGGGACTCTGGGGTCTCTCCCTGCCAGCCTACCGAGCCTCCCACTTCCCCATCACTTTAGGAACTCCTTCTTTCGAGGCTTTGGAGACTGGTTCTCTCTATAATAATTCTTAACTGTTCAGCTCCCTCTAAGCCCAGGCCTTTCCCCAGAAAAAGAAATCTGGAATGCTTTGTTCACCAGCCTCTTCCCTCCCCTAGGACTAAGCACGACCCGCCTTGCTCCCTCCTTTATTGGCTCCCACACAGGAACAGTAATGGGCTACTTAGAATTTCCATGAGGTTCTGAGCAGTGACTGAAAGAAAATTTTGTTTGAAGGTGTGTATTCACATAAGTCTGATGCAAATTTATGTTATGTATCTATTGATCACAAACCTTTATTAGCATGTCTTCTACGTACCAGGTATTATTGTGCATGTCACATAATCTCACATGGCCTTGAGGTAAACATTATCTTTGTGAATGTGTTTGCGTACCTGTGTGTATACATTTGTAAGTATGCTTGGGTGAGACAAGCATGAATATTTCTGTGTATGCAAATTGAGTTGTAATTTGTATTCTGCCTAATTATAATGAATGTTAGGTGCACATGGCTATTTGTACATTTGTGTTTGTAAATGCGTTTCTGTCCACATAGGCATACAGAGTAGGGCAAAAGTAGGTTTACAGTTGTGAAACACAGTTTATTCTGGTATTATTATTTATTAATTATATTATTTTCCATAGAGCAACTATAAATCTCCCTTTGCCCCACCCTGTATATGCATTTATCTATGTGTGTCATTATTGTGCCCCGGAGGTATCAAAACAAACTGTGAGCTGGCACCTGTGTCCTTGCCCCTTACCTGGCTAGGAAGCACCCTGTGCAGGCAGGTGTGGATACAGTGGGCAGAAGTCACTTTCTTTTCCTTCTCCTTCAAGGGACACTCTGTGTGCGCGCGCATGCGTGTGTGTGCGCGCGTGTGTGGCAGGTTCGCTCTTCATGCATGCCTCCAAGGCTCTGGCCTGTGCAGGAGATGAGAGTGATTATCAGCCGAGATTCATTATTATCTGGTGGGCTTCTGTTTAATATGAGGCCACTCCTTTTATTTAATCAGCACACATGAATCGAGCATGTGCCAAGTGTCAGGGATGTGATGATATGTAAAATCAATAGGACTTTGAACCCCTGGAACATGCAGTCACTTCAGAGGTTCAGTGGAAAGAGTTCCTCATGGTTGTGAATCTACGTTTTTTACCCAATACCTCAACATGTTTCTCATACCCATAAATAGTGCACCCAGATCTTCCAGTTTTGTGTAGGTCACTATTGAAAACAAACAACTGTAGCCCTGGCTGGGCAGCTCAGTTGGTTGGAGTGTTGTCCCCTATGGTAAAAAGCTGTGGGTTCGAAACCCCATCAGGGTGCGTATCTGGGTTGTTTGTTCAGTTCCCAGTTGAGGCGCGTACAGGAGGCAACCCATCGATGTTTCTCTCTTTCTCTCCCTTTCCCTCTTTATAAAATCAATTACAAAACATATCCTCAGATGAGGATTTAAGAAAAAAGGAACAAATAAACAACTATAGCCTTGGAGGTCAGGGACTTATGCTCTTATTGTATATTTTCCTCAAAAGGCTGGATGATGTGGGATAAATGACCAGACTTTCTGGGCTTAAGTCAATGAGGTACGTAATGCCTACTCTCCTTACCACATGAAGCTGCTTAAAAGAAATGGCAGTCAGATCTGATCTTACTGTGACTACCATGCTATGAAGCAGAAGTCTGAGTGGGAGGGAATGGACTGGCTTCTGCTGATGGTCCATTTTTATTGGTAAGTATTCTGTGTAGCTTAATTCCAATACTTGACCAGCCCCTTGAAGGTCCTAATAGCCAGATTTGAATCCTCCTAAGTATGAAGAAATGTTGACACACACCGAGACTTATTTTATTATTACAGGAGATTCGTTCTTTCATTAGTTTGGCAGACATTTATTGAGTACTTACTATATGTCAGGCACTATTCTAGACACTAGGGATATAGCAGGAAACAAAGTTGGTGAAAATCCCTATTCTAATGGCATGCATTTTCTAGTGGAGGGAGACAGGAGATAAACAAGTACGTTATGATGTATTAGTCACTCATAAGGATTGAAAAGAAAGAATCACAGTAAAGGGCCAAAGAGTGAAGGGTGGTCAGATCTGGAAATGCCTTCTGAGAACGAGACATTTGAACACAGGACTGAAGAAAGTCAGGGAATGAGGCATGCGAACTTCCGGGAGGGGAGGGAGAACTTTCCAGGCAGTGGCGAAGCCCATGCAAAGGCCCTGAGGGGGAAGTGCGCTTAGTGTGCAAGAGACACCAAGGGACGAGTGTGCCCGGACGGACGAGTGAGCGAAGGAAGGGGCTGGGTCAGGTACTACCTCCAGGGCATAGTGAGGGCTTTGGGTTTTATTTTGGTGGAGCCCCACTGGGGGGATGTGAGCAGAGGAGTAGCAAGATCTGACCTAACATTTTAACAAGATTAGCCTGACTGCTGTATTTAAAATAAAATAAGTGGGGAGGGAAGGGGCAAAATGAAAGCAAGGAGATTGGTTCAGGACTACCAGAAAAAACCTATGTGAGACTTTTTTTTTATTTTTTAAGATTTTATTTATTTATTTTTAGAGAGAGGGGAAGAGAGGGAGAAAGAGATGGAGAGAAACATCAATGTGTAAGAGATGTATTGATGAGTTGCCTCTCACATGCTCCCAAGTGGGGACCTGGCCCTCAACCCAGGCATATGCCCTGACTGGGAATTGAACTGGTAACATTTAGGTTCACAGGCTGGAACTCAATCCAAGAGGTTCTTATATGCTGATCTTGTTCAACACTTTCATTTACAGAAGAAGAAAATTATATCCAGACAGATTAAGTGACTTACCCTTTAGACGTGTAGCAAAGTTGGAACGAGTATACAGGTACCCTAATTGGGGCTAAAGGGTCTTTTCACTGTTTTTTGCTACATCTAAGATGAAGGACATGATAGAGAAGGCCAAGGAAATCTCCAAGGGAAGGGGCTCTACCTCGGTTGTTACTGATATCCCTCTATCTAGCACCTGGCACAGGGCCTGGCACAGAGGATGTGCTCAGTAAATATTTCTTGCAAGGGTGAATGAGCGAATGGGTGAAAGAAGAAAAAAAAAGATTCATGGAGAGGGCCTGAAGAGA